CCAAGACGTTGGCCCTGAAAGCGGATGGCGTTCTTTAGCTGGTCTGAGTCGGCTGAGTTCATTTTAATGGTCAGTTCGTACTGTCAAGGAGAGACTCTGAGGCATGAACTCAATTGCACGACTCAGATAGTGTTCTCAAAAAATAAAGACTTTACTGGAATTTAGCACAGTAATCAAAACAAGGAAAACAAATATACTCTTTCGAGGAAAACTAGCAAGTGATCAATGAGGTAGATCCGTGGGAAGTCCGTGAGGTAATCAGGAACGTGGGTCATAGTAAGACAACGAACTGACAATGAACAGGAGGAAGCTACCACAATATATACACAGGTAAAGGGGACACAGGTGGAAACAATCAGGGCGGGGAAAACAATCAAGGACGCAGGAGACAGAAGGGGGCGGGGAGCGTGGAGGCCTGAAATGAGAGGGATGATTAATTAAGGGAATAAACATAAAGCACAGGGCAAAGGGACATGACAAAACTAACATAAAGAATACACTTTCACTATTAGTTTCCTAGACATGACACGGAGCGGCTCCACCTGTTTGCTGCCTGCGATCTGCGATCTACGGAGGTCTGCTCCCACCTGTAGAGTATGGCTGCACTGGAGTGGTTTTTACCCCGGAGTCGTCGCGGAGAGACGGAGTGGATCCACGCTTCGGGCTTGGCCTGCTTCCACCGGGCGTGTGTTGCTGTACGGAGGAGGTTTTTACCACGGCTGGGGCCTGCTTTCCACCTGTCCTGGTTCTGCTGTTGCAGAGGCCTGCTTTCACCCCGGGGATACCACGCTGCTGCTTTCGTCTGTCCTTTGCTGCTGTGCTGATTTTGCTCCAGGAACATCGCGGATTCTGTGTGCTGGTCTGGGAAAATGGCCCATATCGGGATTCTGCTGTGCCTGTTAACTATTTTGGACTATGAGAAGATCTCTAGTCATTCTGAGGAGTCTTCTGGATTCAGGTCTGTTCTGCCACCCGCAGTGGGCATCCCCTGCAAAGGTTCGGATGTGTTACACAAACAATTACCGGTTGCCTTGTCACAGTCAATCTGCTCGACAAAATATGTTTGTCTTTTATGTTTTCCTGCGATGATGGTTCTTCAGGACTGCTTCTTAAGCTCAAATCACACTCTCGCAGACTTTTCCGGTGATTCTAAAGTAGATGACAATGTATGTGTGTCGTTTAAGAGGAAAAGATGCCTGGTTTTTTTGTTGTTATTACTGTCAGGAAATGTACAACCTAACCCTGGTCCGCCCAGTAGTAGTAGTCAGATCGCTACTCCTGCTGATTTTAAAGCTAGGTCTGGGTTGGGTTTCATCCACTTGAATGTGCGCAGTCTGTTAGGTAAACTAGATTTTGTCCGTATCTGGGCGAGCTCGACTGACGCTGACGTCATTGTTTTATCAGAAACATGGCTAAATAAATCTATTTTGGCCTCTGACATTGCCTTAAATGGTTATAATGTGTATCGTACCGACCGGCCTAATAAAGGTGGTGGCGTTGCCATTTATGTTAAGAATAAGTTCAGTGTAACCACATTAGTTTCCAAATCTATCAGTAAGCAATTTGAATTTTTAGCCTTAAATATAGAAGTGGCAAAGGGTCAACAGGTCATGGTCGTGGGCTGTTACAGACCCCCCTCAGCTGTCAAATACTCCTTGTCTTCGCTAGCAAATCTTTTATCGCAACTAGACTACAAGGAAATAGTGCTACTTGGAGATTTTAACTGGGACTGGTTAACTACAGTGTCAGAGGATTTTAAAAACCTTTGTATCTCTTTAAATGTTACACAGATTGTTGACAGTCCTACTCACCCTAATATTAAGTCTCCAAATAAATCCTCCCTAATTGATCTCATTTTAACTAATGTTCCCTATAAATACTCAGCTGTGGGAGTATTTGCGAATTATCTGAGTGACCACTGTGTTGTAGCCACAATTAGGGACACAAAAGTCCAAAAGGTTAAACCTCGTATTATCATCAAGAGAGACATAAAACATTTTGTGGAGCAGGGTTTTGTACATGTTCTGTTTGGGTTTGATTGGGGAAAAATCGATTTGTGTGCTGATGTTGAAACTGCCTGGTCTTATTTTTATCTTGGTTTTATGGAAATTATAGATAGACAGGCACCCCTGCGTACATTTAGAGTGAAAGGACGAGACAATCCTTGGTTTTCTGCTGAATTATCTAGTCTCCTACATGAGAGAAACAAGGCCTGGGCAAAGGCTAGGAAATCAGGCTCAGAGGTAGAATGGCTGCGTTTTAGGCAGCTAAGAAATAGCTTCACTTCACATAGTCAAAAGTGCTAAATCTAAGTATTATCTGTCAGTTACCACAAAGAACCTGAACAACCCTAGACAATTCTGGAAAGCCATAAAATCGATATCCACCGGTGATATCCGTAATGAGCTACCTCCGTGCCTTACCACAGCATCTGGCTCTATATCGGACAGGGCTACCATGTTAAATTGTTTTAATGAGCATTTTGTGTCCTGTGGCTCTCTGTTTCATTCTGTTTCTAATTCTGCTTCTGTGAACACCACAGTCGGTGACTCAGAACAATGTGGTCTGGAAAACCCTTTCAGTTTTACTCCTTTTACTGTTGATGTTGTTCGTGAAGTCTTAACCAAGCTAGATCCTAAAAAGCCGGCTGGTCCGGACAACGTAGAACCTTTCTTTTTAAAGATAGCTGCAGATTTTATTGCTCCACCTCTTACTACTCTTTTTAACCTCTCTCTCAGCACGAACAAAATCCCAAAAGTATGGAAGTCAGCTTATGTCCTGCCTTTGCTAAAAGGAGGGGAGGCCACCTTATTAAACAATTATAGACCCATCTCTAAATTGTCAGTTCTGGCTAAGGTTTTTGAACGCCTAGTGAGTGAACAGGTAAAGGTGTTTTTATGTACAAATGACATCCTGTCTAAACATCAGTCAGGCTTCAGAAAGCAACATAGCACCATCACTACCACAATGAAAGTAGTGAATGACATTACGAGTATTTTAGATAATAAGCAGAGTTGTGCAGCTCTATTTGTTGACCTATCCAAAGCTTTTGACACCGTCGATCATCGCATTTTGAAGCAGAGGCTGGTCAGTATTGGCATATCCAGCCATGCAGTAGGTTTGTGAACTACCTCCCCGAAAGGTCCCAATGTGTTCAGTTTGATGGGCTGTCTTCTGAGTGGTTAAACATCACTGATGGTGTACCACAAGGTTCAGTTTTAGGTCCGCTATTATTCTCTATCTATATTAATAGTTTAGGTGGAAATGTCGAAGGAGCAACCTTACATTTTTATGCGGACGATACCGTTATGTACTGTGCAGGTCCCTCGATTAACGAGGCTGGTGTTAAATTACAGGCTGTTTTTAACATTATTCAGGCTTAGCTCTCTGAGCTTAAGCTTCTTTTAAATGTGGATAAAACCAAGGTAATGCTCTTTTCTAAAGCTAAAGCTAAAAATACACCGGAGACTGCTTTGGATATTGTAACTACGCACGGAATACAACTTGAAGTGGTTATCTGTTACAAATACCTTGGTATCTGGCTTGATGATTGTCTCACTTTTAAATTTCATGTAAATAACCTGCTTAAAAAGCTGAGGGTTAGGCTAGGTTTCTTTTACAGAAATAAGTCCTGTTTCTCGCTTGAGGCCAGGAAAAGGCTAGTCACTGTGACCTTTTTACCTGTGCTGGACTATGGTGATTTGTTATATATGAATGCACCTGCCAATTACTTGAGCAAGTTAGATGCTGCGTATCACAGTGCACTGAGATTTTTGACAAATTGTAAAGCACTTACGCATCACTGTACCCTGTATACCAAGGCGGTTTTGCCATCACTTACTGTACGGAGGCTCAGTCACTGGTACTTTTTCATTTACAAAGCCATGTTGGATAAACTACCATCTTATATCTGCTCCCTGATCTCTCTGCGAATTGAAAGTACTTATTGCCTGAGATCGCATGCTGTGGTTTTATTAAATGTGCCAAGTGCTAGGACTGTCTTAGGGAAGAAAGCTTTTAGATGTGCAGCTCCACTAACTTGGAACAGTCTGCAAAAAGAATGGAAAATTACCAAGCTAGTACCACTACATGTTTTTAAAGCTCGGTTGGATGCTACACAATCAGATGCTGTTGGTACCTGTACTTGTGGTTAAATATGTAAATTGTAATCCCTGTACATTTTGCTGTATGATGTCCTTTTGTTGTTCTGTTGTTTATGTTTTTATGTCTTCTTGTGGAACCTACTGCTGCAGGTCTCCCTTGAAAAAGAGATCATTGATCTCAATGGGATTTTACCTGGATAAATAAAGGTTTTTAATTGAATCCTGCTGACTAACAGAATGATCGTTAAGGGCAAAGTGGGCACCTTTAAGAAAATATTATGTATCAGAAGAACGTTGACACAAATAATAAATTATGTCTGATTGGAATCTGACAGCATTACTTTTGATATTGTGTCCAGTGAGATATAATAAGAATAATCTCTACCACCTAAAATTGTCACGTAAGAGCCTTGTTGAAATTCACTGGTCAGGTGGTTGCCTAAATAAAACACGACAAAACAAAGTCTAGAAAGAAATGTAAGGTTCTCGTAACACTTTACATCATTTTATTACATTTGCAATAAATAAAAAAGCACTTTAAAGGTCCCATGTCATGGCCATTTCTACTGATCATAATTCCATTGTTGAGGTCTACTAGAATAGATTTACATTGTTCAATGTTCCAAAATCACATTGGTTTCTCACACAGCATCTCTGTAAAGTATGTGTATTCACTCTCTGTCCTACACGCCTTGTTGGAGCTCCTGCCCCCCCCATCTGCGAGGCTCCACTAGCCCCCCCCCCCCCCCAGAGTGTCACATTTTTGCTGCTAAAAGAGTGTGTGTGTGTGAGGAGCTCCACGGATTGGTCCATTTGGGTATGGGCAAGTCACCATACCCAGGAAGAAAACAATGGAAAAAGAGAAATCTCCAACGAGGCGTTCTGGGGCAGCACAGACAGGTCTTTTCTGTGTTAGAGTTTTACTCGCTACAGGGTGTACTTTGAGGGTTTGTGACTCTGCAGACCGTTTACATGCAGAAACACCTTCATAACACGCAAGGGGACGGGTAATAACCGGAGAAGCATGTCATGGGACCTTTAAGCCCACAAAACACAGAAGCATAGGGTAACAAAGCTCCTTGCCAGCAAGAAGCCGAAGAAACAAAAAAAAATGATTTCATGATTTTTAATAAACATTGAGCTCCACACCTGTTTGTTAGTCTCATTCATGGAAAGTGCATTAAAAACTACATTTTAAAATACAGTCTTTACATAAAATGTTACTAAATCAATTCAGTTAGTGAGAAAATGTGTTTGTTTTATTCGTTGAGAAAAAAACACGAGTGGTGTTTTATCTTCAGAGCAGCCTTCGTGCTTTAAACCTTCCAAATGAGGTAGAACTGATGGACCCGATTTAAATAATTAAATATTTCTTAATTTTGTGAAACTGGTGAGCTGTTTGTGCGGAACTATGCCTAGTGGAAACGCAACCAAAAACGGGCCGGGCACGGCACGCTTAAACCGCGCTGTAGTGGAAATGCGCCATTAATGTTCTAATAGAGACCAATGCTACCGCTTTACTCAGGCTCTACTTTTTGGTTTTAAATAGATATTTTTTTCGTAGCACCACATACAAGGTTCCAGGCGATCAGAGCCGATATTTAAAGGTGACGTTTCAGAAAGGACAGCTGGCTAAAACTTCAGCGTGCAGTACTACTCACATTGGAGGAAGTGCAGACATTCCTCTGTTTGGGTGCTGACAAAAGATCAGCTGGTTTCCCATTTGATGGGGAGTTTCGCAACTCAAAACAGAAAATCCAGTCTATTTGTCCACCTGTTTTTAAGTAAACACAGGAAACACTTGGGATCAGACCAGGTTATGAATCAAACTGAGAAAAAACATCACCACAATTGTTTTTCTCTCATCTTCCAGGCCTTACTAATACATTCAACAATTAAGGACAACTGTCGGATTCACTCTGATGCACTTTAGTGTAGTAAACTCGTTTGTGGCACATCCAGTTTCAAAGTGATGGACGAGCTCCTGATTCTGTTAAAGGTTCTCCATGACGACCGGTTCAAACACTGTAGAGTCTCTTCTTTATCCTGACTCAGGAACACACACGGAGGAGGGGTGAAAGGTCACATGCGGTGCGTTGACGAGGGTGGCAGCTGCTCTTTGTCATGGCGCTTCAGGAGAGGATTCAGATCAGTCTCCAGCTCCCTCTGCTTCTGTAATAAACCCTGAAAACACACACACACACACACACATACACACCAGAGTTTCCGTTAGAATTTTGCCGGTCAACATTTCCGTTAAAGTTTAAATCTTCCGGACAAAATTAGAAAAGTGCTGGTCAAAGTTCTTCTTTGTTATTTATTGAGCTTTAAAACAAATTCATAACGACTCTATATTAAACAAACTAATTATAGTAGATTAACTACATTATTCAAAAGTGTACAGTAACTTTGGATAATAACACAGGAATAATAAATAATAATATTTCCCTCCCTCCATACTGTGGTAGAAACCAACTACAACAAAATGAACATAGTTTACCGTGATTTAATTGTAATACACGTTTCTAAATGATGCAGAAGTAACAACATACTGATAACGGTTATTAAAAACCATGAATTAATGCTTTGACAAGTGTGCAGACAGACGGCAGGCGAAAAACTTTTTAAAATGCGTGTTTTTTGAATGGAGATCGGATAAGCTAACGTTGTATCTGCTCCGTCCACACTCACAACAACATGATACAGACACAGATACAACAGCGACTGTATTCGCCATGTTCCAGAGGTAGATAAACTAGCTAAGTGTGTTAGGTTGAATGTTATGGCTGCCGCCTTCCTGGTCGTCTTAACTGTGTTAACCTGTGTTCTTATGCAAACGAACTGTGCGGTTCCCCTGATGTCATTGGCTGCCATCTCCTGGTCCGCCTCTGAGGACTGTGATTGGAGCTTGTCGGGCCAGACGCGCTCCAATCGCAGCGCACATCTGGCGCACACCTTCTGGAGATGACTACAAAGCCTGTGACTAACGATCACTCTGGAGGTTCTGACATGTGAACTGACGCCTCCTTGCTCCTTAGATAATTCTGTTAACAGTGGTTAAACTCGTGTGCCCATATTTAGTTTGGTATTGTGTATTAGTAGTGTCTAGAGTAGCTTAGGATTTTGTGACTGTTGCCTTTAGTTTAGCTGTGTTTTTGTACAGACTCCTTTTGTTAGTTGTACCACTTTTAAAGTGATGTTTTGTTTCGTTTCTTATTTTAGTGTATTAGTATTTATTTCCCTGTATGCAATTAGACTCCTTTTTAGAGTCCTCCTTTTGTTTGGTTATTTATCAACCTGTGCCCTTTTGGCCTTTTTGTTTGGTCCAGGCTGCATGCCTGCCATTTTTGTTACCCTGCTATTTAAAATAAACCCTATACCAATTCCATACTGGTGTATGTCATTTTCCTCTACCCTAGAGGGGGACGTAACATCTAACTTGAAGAGTGTGGCCCAATCCCAAACCACGCCCTACACCTACACCCTACCCCTCCGTGACGGAGTGAACTCCGTGGAGTGACACTCGCAGCTCAACGAGGCTCCCTCCTGTCAGATGGAGGGAGTAAATACAGCGGCAAGCGTTGGGACAAACTCCCCTCTCTCCAGCAGAAACAGGAAATGCCGTAACTGTAACAACGGTTTCAAATCAGCATCTCTTAGACAAAAAATGTAAATTAATAACTAAAATAAAACTCCAAACATCTTTAATTGTTATTTTTATAAGCTTCTTAGTTTTTGCAACAGTCTGTAAATATACACAACTTTATAATAAAATGCACACATTTACCTTTTTCTAGACTAAACACAGATATGATCCTAAGTTAAAACAATATGAGGTTATCATGAGGTTGTTAACATCGCAGTTTATCAGTGGATGTTTGCTGGAACTGTTTGTAAACAGCGTGTTTCCTGACGGACACACACAGCGTGACTCCGGTCAGGTAGAGACCGGTCTCAAGTCAGCACCGATGCAGACTCGCTGTTTGAGGGCTTGATAGCCCTCTCCCCCTCCACACCGCTCTACACTCGTTGGCTTGGAACAGCACTTAATGTGGCAGACTCTCCGCGCGAACGCACAAACGGAGGGGTAGTGTGTAGAGGGGTAGTGTGTAGGGGGGTAGTGTGTAGGGGGCGGTTTGGGATTGGGCCTGTGTTTTGCTCCGCTCACCGGTCCGTCACAGCGGGCGGAGCTGTGATCATGAGGGCTGTGTGTCTCTACACACTGCTGTCAGGGTTGTCATATTTTCATGAAAGAGAGCGGTGTACATCTGAATAACCGTGTTTATACAAACTGTAGCTTATACTTTCTTTATTAATGAGATTTGTTATGGCATACATTTATATATATCGTGATTCATATATTTTGATATGGCATACTTCCCTTTGAATTTTTTCATTCATTATTAAATGACATTTTAATAAATATTTTGTAAAGAGAGATGAAAGGGGTGAAATTGCTGGACTTTGGAACCTAAGTCCTCCGCTCGGGGACACAGCCCCAGTGTGTGGGCCACCAGCTCCACCAAGTGAGCTATACAGCAGCGCATAACAATTACAAATAAATAACTGAATTGATTCAGTATTGCCTAATATAATAATAATAACTTATGCCCTGATCAAATATCACTTCAGTTTCAGAAATGAAAAGTGAATGTCTTGCCAGGTTTAGAAAGAACAGTTTAAATGTAACCTGGGCTGACACACTTGGTTTTTGTGTCAGTGTGTGTGTGTGTATTACCTGCCGTAGCTGGGCCAGGCCTCGGAGGATCTCCTGCTGTCGGTGTGTGTGTGTGTTGCGCAGCAGTTCAGGGTGGAGGAGTCGATGTGAGGGAGGAGACGCTGAGATCGAAGGAGCTTCTGATGAGGAGAAGAATAGTTTACTGACAGTCTGTTAAACAGTCTGTTTCTTTATTTAGTTATTTCATATTTTTTTAAGTGTGGCTCCTCTGTACAAACAACAACTGTAACAAGCCTCTGTCCTGAAAGAGGAGTCGAGTACTATCAGTTAAGTGTTATGGTTACTTTTAATGTCTTGTCTTGGGTAAGGGGAAATGGCGGCAAAAAGAGCTGACATCACAATAAAAAAACACATTAAATGAAGACAAATGCACAGGTCGAGGTGTGTGTGTGTCCAACCTGTGTGTGTTTGAGGCGGGGGGGTGTCAGCAGGCTCCAGTGGGTCCAGGTTGAAGACTTCATCAGTGCGGACGTAAGGAATGAACTCCAGAGGAGGAGGAGAGGAGGAGGAAGGAGGCACCGGCTGACCCTGGACTCTGAGTCTGACAGCGGGGAGGGGGGGAGAGCGCCCACTGCAGGAGACATCACAGAGGAGTCAACGCACTGAACATAAAACATCTTCTCTGGCAGATTAAAGAGCTGAACTGGGTTGCGGTCGAATAGTCCATTTAGCTTAGGAACCTTCCTAACGGAGTGAAATGACCCGGAAGTACCTCAGTGGCAGCCATGATAAGTGCCGTTCGAATTCTCTAGATCAGGGCTTCTCAAACTCCGGACCAAGGTCCAGATCCGGACCAAGGTCCGGATCTGGACCGAACTGCAAATCAATCCGGACCAAACCCTGTGTCGCCATATAAAAAAAAAAATATTAAAAAAAAATCTGACTCTGATGTAAATTAAAGTGGACGTATTATGCTATATTGGAAAAATATATTGTAGGGCCATACCTATACAAAACATGTCTGTGAAGTTTTTTACCAAACAGTTCACCCATTGCAGCCATGCCTCATACTGCTCATACCCCTCTTTTGCAGCCCTGTTAGAGAAATGCGGATTTTGGGTCCTTAGCTTGAAAAAAAAAAGAGAGGAGGCGGAGCTAATGCCTGATCAGAATTCTACCGGAGATAAAGTTACATTCTGCTGTGATAAAATGCCATCCTGTTCTAAACCACATCAAGGATTATTTCTGAAACAGTATGGAGCTCAAATGCTTTTTCTCTTGCGGGTTTATCACAAAGTGAGTTCCTTTTTTTACTTCCTGCTTTTTAAACACATGTGCTCTACAGTACAGGTTAGCTCTGAGTGTTAGCGAGGCTTACTAATGTAAACAAAAACGAGATTACGTCCAAAACACAGCAATTTTCTGTGGGTCCGCTGCCGATTTGACGTCAGATCGGCAGCAAATCTGTATCCGCTCGTTGTACTCCTGTTTTTAAAAGATTTGGGTACGGAGGAAAAGAGAGAGGGTTTTATTTTCTGATGCTGCGTGAGTTCCCCGACGCACCGGGGACACATATTTATGTAGGGAAGACATCACAAAGTGCATTTTGCATGATAGGTCCCCTTTAATGTATATTTTCTTGTGTCTGACGCGTTGTTAGAATGAACGTGCATATATATTTACTTGTGTGCGTGACACACATTGCAGACCGCAAGTTAACCGCAAGTTTACCTTGACTTTCTAATGCTTCTAATGCCATTTTTGACATTGGCTACAGACAAACAGTGCCATTTCTCCCACTAGTTCAAGCCATCATACTGTATGTATGTATTGAATGTGTGTGTGTATACAGGGGTGCCATTTACCGACAGGCAAGTGCTTGGACCAGAAGGGGGCCCCCAAATAAAGTAGATGAATCCAATCCAACTTTATTTATATAGCACTTTAAAACCTCCAGACCAAAGTGCTGTACAGAGAGATACTTCAAATATAAAATCACACAGCTCAGCTCACAAAACATAAAATAAATAAATAAGTTTAAAATAAAAGATACAAACACAAAACAAACCAGAATAAACGTAACAATTTCAAAATAAGATTAAGAAAAGACACAGCAAAGACAACATGAAACACCCTTTAATTTACTGCAACGACATGTCGGGAAACCCCCTCAAGGGGGCCTCATGCATAGCGCGCCGAAACTTCTGGCATTGATCCGGACCATTGACCTTGTATAAAATTCACAAGTGGACCTTTAACAAAAATGTTTTAGTACCCCTGCTCTAGATGATAGGAAAGTAGGTTTCAAACCTCCTTTATAACCTCCTTTAGCTTAGGAACCACTGGACCTCCCTTTACGAAAGGAGAGGAGAAAAAATGCTGCCCCCACAATGCCTTGCAGCCGCCACACAACAGTCGGCCGTTCACGGAAACAACCGATTATGACCGAGAAATTATATCATGAAAGTTACGGTGCTTATTAAGCATTTTAAAAACGTATGTGGTAACTTGCCAAAGTGCTTTGTTTTTAACGTTCATCAGTATTATAATCAAAAAGAGAAATATGAACGTTAGTTTTTACTGAAATGATCAAATAAAGTCAACATCTCACAGTCTTTACTGAGCTGTGTGGGGTTTGTTCAGCTTTTAAAATATGTTTGAATGGTGATATACACAGTGATAGATGGTAAGGACTAACGTTTATAATAAATACATTTGTATTGATTTTAAGATATTTTCATACAATCATACGTATTGGGATCATTTGTATTAATGTGGACCGGAGGGAGAGGGTGACGAGCATAAGTTTCACTTTCCTTTTTTATTTCAATTCCAACTTTGGTCATGAAGAATATGTTTCTCTGTTGTCCACATTCATAAAGCAAAAAGCAACAGCATCAGAGCACGGTGCAGAGTCTCTAGATGAGTTTACAGTAGTCCCTCCTTCTTATTATACATCCATGTTGTAGTCCGCTGTATAGAAAACTGTAGTTTCCATAGTTTCCCCACAGCAGCAGACGCACATTCATGACGTCCGCTGGCGCATCATAAACACGTCGGATAGTGAAAGTGCATTCGGATTCTCTAAAGTACCGCAGTCTCTTCTCCTAAGTCCTTTTGAATTCTCCTATCCACTATCCCTTAACCCCGTGACGTTTCACTCAGAGGTCAAGGAATAGGAGATAGGGATAGGCGTTAGGAGCTGATTTTTGGACTATTGGACCCTAGTGTTTAGTAATCACACTGTGGAACTTCTTCATGACTGCACAGATAACTTCCTGCATTTCCAGGAGTTCCAACTGCTCGTTTGTGCATTTCGTAGCAGTACAATTACTAATAGTAAAGGATGTTTTAATTTCATTTTTATTTATTTTTTATAAATGTAAAATGTTGCTGTGAAATAAAGTCCAAAAGTGTGTTACAGGACTTATACAAACGCATATTAACATTTGATTAGGCAGAAACTGTGAATTTTGACTTACTTTAAATGTAAAATGTATATATTTTCTATCAAACAACTCATCTTATACTGTCTGTGTGGTTTACTCCTGGCCTGTCTTTACTAGAGACATTTTTCGGTTCTGTATGTCACTATTGTAGAATTGTCTCCTTTTTCAGGGGAAGGGTTGAACAGTAAGACATCTGCTCAGAGCTGCTCACCTCTCAGGGCTGACGGCTGCAGCAATGCTGAGTCCTCTGGAAACACTCTCCACCTGCAACAAACACTCATTAACACATATCCAACCACAGATAATATCATCATCCTGCAGGGAAAAACTGAACTCCTTTGGAGAAGGGAAGTAACAAAAGGTGATCAACCTCAACAGTTATATTAAATGAAATTAAAACAAAAGCAGCTTTTCAGAATTCACTGTGAAGGTTTACAGCATCAGGGGGTTCCCTACCTTCCTGGTGGGACTGGTTCTGGTTTGTGTGGGGTTGGAGGGGACAGAAAGCTCCCGCTGCTGAGGAGGAGGAGGAAGAGGAGGAGGGGGGTCGGCCCTGGACAGGCAGGTCCTCTCCTGCAGAGCGAGGAGCTCAGCCTGCCTCCTCTGCCGGCTCTCCTGCCTGTTCCTCTGCAGAGCCGCTGGGTAGCGCTCCGACGCGGGGACAAACTGCCGGCTGGGCCTAAGGACCAGGAACAGGTAAAGAGGGGGGGTCTGAGCAAATAAATACTGACAGGGTGTGAGGTATATTATTTATTAAGACAATATGGAGGTTGTGGGATTGATTTTGGATCTCTACATTCCTGATTTTTAACATTGAAGGGTTGATTAAAGAAGATCAAATGGGGGTACACGGACCCCTGGGGGTAAGTTAGGGTACTGCATGGGGTACGTGAGATAAAAAAAAAAAAGGTTAATTAAAAAAATACCATGCATGATTACAAAAATAATCATGTGTTAAATAGAAAACACAATTTTATATAAAATATTCCTAGAACCACCAAGGGTTCAAGATCCGTTCTTGTGCTTTTCTGGTGCTTAACTGGTTGTTCTCAAGTGTGTGGTCACGTTCTAGTCACTTTGTTCTGCGCTACTGCTTGTTACAACTTGCCGTACTCGCTATTAGCTGGTATTGCTCAGGTTAATTTCGCCCCCTCTGACGTAAGCGTGAAGTATTGGTTATTGCCGGGCAGCCGAGTGGGGCCAGCTAAGAACCGGGTTTCGGTACTGAGAGCCGGCTCCGCTGCGGTGGAAACAGGAATAACCAGAGCTAAATCAGGCTCTAGCCCGGAACCCTGCAGAGCGGGAAGCCAGTTGCAATATTAGATTATAACAAATAGACATTGAAATGGAATCGTGGTTAAAAACGTAGCAGCACTACAGCAGGGAACGTGGACAACGGAGAAAAAAAGAGAGCCAAAATTGAGCCGTCAATATCAGGAGGCGTATGCTTGGATGGGATTCACGTCAACAAACGGTAACCCGCCCCAGGCATTGTGTTTTTTCTGTGGGGAGAAACTAGCCAACAGCTCGATGAAACTAGCGCACCTCCAGAGACATCTCAGCACCAAACACCTGTGTCATGTTGGTAAGCCACCGGAGTTTTTCAAGAGAAAACTCGCTGAGTACAGATCCTCGCAAGAGATGATGCGGAAAGCCTCCACAGCATCAGCCAAAGCACTGGAGGCATCGTATGCGGTGTCACTGCTCATCGCTAAGAGAGAGGAGACAGTTTCTTCCCTCTTCCCTCACAGCAGTACACAGGGAGGGGGGCTCCTGACTAGTTGGAGAAATATTCTGAGGCCCCAAAAAGGCGGTTATGTCATGGCCGAGAATAATATTTTCCAGTCCTGCACACTAGAGGTCATGAACTTTTTACACAAGCATGGGAAGGTGTGTCTTAGGTTTTCTGTCCTGTTTTCAGCATAAAAACACTGGGTGAGAGAGGGAAAGCTTCAGAGCTGTGTTTTCGCCTCGGTAAGGTTCTCTCAAACTTGGTAAATATTGCTTACATTTCTGTTTATTGAATGCTGAGTGAATTGTTGGATGAAAGTTTAAAACTGTTCATTCTTACTGACCATTTTTGAGGAGCTGCCTCTGAATGTTGTCAGGCTATAGGTGTGAATGTTAGCCCCGGCAATCCGTGAGGAGATTCCTTTGGATTATGTCGGAAGACTTTAATGTCTAAACTATGAATTAAAGTTTCAGATTAGAAAATGACCACAGCATGATATGTTTAGTATGATTGTAATGTTGTAACGAGAGAAGGTAAAAACCCTGTACAAGTGTGGAACATTTTTCTTCAAATAAACTGATCCCACCTTTTGGATTGGGACAACTTAAAAGACATAGCACATTGTTGTGTCCATTTCCATATTTTTGTTGTTTGTTTTGAGCACTAGATGGCGCAATGGGGCACAAGGTTTTTAAGTGATTTGACCGTGCTGCGCACACACTGTTTTTCTTTGGAAATAAAATGGTATTGATAGACTCTTAAATCAATATATCCATAGAAAAAATTAAATGTACAATGTGTGAACAGCACAGCATTTGACTTTTAATTCAGATATATTGTACGTGTTTTTTCACAGTAATTTGTCACATTTTATTGTATTTTCACTATTGCATATTTATGTTAAAGATGAGGTAGGTCATTTTGGAGAAACCAGCTTGAGTGCGCTAGAATTTGAAAACACACAACCGGAAAAATCTGCCACTTCCTTACAGAGCCCCTCCTCCAACACACAGGAATGCGCACATGACCAATGAGGGCACGAGATAAGTTTGTGCACGAGATGGAAGGCTGACAGGCAGGTAGGCCAATTATCTGAGCTGCATGCTTTTTACAGCGCCACGGCTTCCACAGATGACATTTTTGTATGTATTTATTGTCAAAGCATTTAATATATTCATTGCTATCGGGATGTTAAAAGCATTCCATGGAATATAACAAAAAGTGTTTCTGAAATAAATTACATACCCCACCTTTAAGCTATTCATATAAAACATTTAGAATACTTTTTAATAATATTTCTTTTTTAAAAAAAATCTTGATTTGATGTCATGTTTATGTATTATACACAAAAGCTAATTCCTTGTATGTAAAAATCTACTCGCCAATACATGTATTCTGATCCTTGTATTTCAACACTTATGAAACAGTACTATTCTCACTGTTTGCACCTCTGTGTGTTCCACTCCGGCCTCCTCTTGTCCCTCCTGCTCCTGTCTGTTCTGGCAAACGCCTCATACGGGTCTCCACCTCCTCCTCCTCCCTCAGGTAGACAGATGTTCTCCTTGCCGGTTGTCATTGCTCGGGTCCTGCTGTTTGGAGGAGCCACAGGTGAAGGGGGGGGGGAGGGCTGGTACTGTGCAGCGACGTCAGGAGTCTGAACTGTGGCAGCTGCTTCTACACACAGAACATAAGAGGGGGGAGGATTTTAGGATTTTATGGAAATATGTTTGTGAGCTGTGATCAAATCCCTATTTGATGTTTTCTGACAAAATAATGAGCATTAAAATATGTGAAGAATTCAACAGCAAGTTTGGCTGTAACAAAGTACATTAATATTAGTAATATTTGTAATTTATTATAAAGTAATATTGTCGTAATATCTAATGGTGAATAAAGACTACTATTCCCACATATAAACAGATATGCGCAACCTGTGTGGAAGACAGTTATAATAAAACAGGAAGACGATCTAAGTTTGGTTATAATTTAATCTGGCTGCTTTAAAAAAAAAGTTTGGACTATTGTAAAGGCCTTTTTTCTTTGTTGAATGAGTGTGGAAACATCAATCTATTGTCCATTGCTTATCCAAAGTCAGGTCGGAGGTAGCAGTTCCAGCAGAGGGCCCCAAACTTCCCCTTCCCTTGCCATATAAACCAGCTCTGACTGGGGGATTCCATGGTTCTCCCAGGCCAGCGTGGAGATAAAATCTCTCCACCTGGTGCTCGGTCTAGAACACCTCCCTAGGAACCAAGATGGACTGGTAGATTGAGAGCTTTGCCTTCTGGCTCAGCTCTCTCTTCATCACACTGGTGCAGTAGAGCAACTGCTGTATTACTCCCGTTGCTCCGATTCTCCAGAAGTACTACCAATAGTTGTTTTAGTAGCGGTTACAGCACAAGCCGTAATAATAACAGTAATAGTCGTAGGAGTTAAGTTGAGTTACCTGTCTGTACAGCAGTGTCTCTGTATGGGGAGGCTGAACTGCTGACCTCTTCCCTCTCGAAACACTCGCTCTGCCTATTTACTGCTGAAACACACAAACAAGTACTAATTACACACACAGATTGTTTCACACCAGTTAATTGGGCCATACCAAAGAACAGTTACAGCATCAATAATGTACATTATTACATTGCTTAATTGAATGCTGGATTCTGATTAGTCAATTTGGAAATCCAAAAGATTGTAAATTCTCGCTAACAGACTGCCGGACTATTTCGCATCAATCAGCAAAAAGTAGTGAAGTAAATGTAACATCGGCTGTTGACAACAAACATTAGTTTTCTCCATCGGAAAACAGCATGGAGTACTATTTGAATATTCATTTTCATATTTGTGGAGAGCACAAAACTTTGGATTCATGATGTCCCCAGTAAAGGAAAGAAAAACAGAACAAGAGAACGAAAGAGGTTAAGAGACAGAGCACTGGAGGTCAGTGAAATCACAAAAAGTAAACACTAACAGGAACACGGGATGGGCTCTCACAGTGTTTAAAGCAGTGGCATTGCACACAAGCGCATTTTGTGTGAGTGAGTGAGTGACAGAGAGAGAGAGAGAGAGAGAGAGAGAGAGAGAGAGAGAGAGAGAGAGAGAGAGAGAGAGAGAGAGAGAGAGAGAGAGAGAGAGAGAGAGGAGAGCGAGAGAGCACTGGTTAAGGGGATTGTTGTTAGCATCTGGTGCTGCTAGCTAGCTGCGCTAACAGATATAAGAAGCCCTTTCTACAGGAAGGTGGAGATAGAGCTCTCTCCTGTCAGACTGAGAGACTCTGATAACTACAGCTCAGTGAGGTAAAGGACTGAGTGTTCAGATAGTTCACTTTAGTCTAAGTTATCTCAAACCTTTTGGTCACCATTAAAGTAAACAAGTATTTCAAAGGGACACCTTTATCTATTTAATATAGCTGTAAATAATAATAATAACTGAATAAATAATAACAGACATGAAATCATTCCAATTTATACTAATGAGACAGTTAAAAAAAATACAGTTTTAAAAGGGGAGTGATTAGTAAAATATGCATGAATAAGAAGAAAGAATGATGACGTATATATTATATACGTAAGATAAGATATACTTTAAAACGTATTTACTGCTGCTTCACAGAGGAGCAGGGGAGAGGGATATATACACTGAACAAAAATATAAACGCAACACTTTTGTTTTTGCTCCCATTTTTCATGAGATGAACTCAAAGATCTAAAACATTTTCTATATACACAAAATAACCATTTCTCTCAAATATTGTTCACAAATCTGAAAAAATCTGTGATAGTGAGCACTTCTCCTTTGCCGAGATAATCCATCCCACCTCACAGGTGTGGCATATCAAGATGCTGATTAGACAGCATGATTATTGCACAGGTGTGCCTTAGGCTGGCCACAACAAAAGGCCACTCTGAAACGCGCAGTTTTGCTTTATTGGGGGGGTCTGGTGGGGTCCGAAAACCAGTCAGTATCTGGTGTGAGGGGTAGGATTAGGGTTAGGGGTAGGGTTAGGGTTAGGGTAATGTTGTGAATTGAGTGGCCCATGGTGGTGGTGGGGTTATGGTATGGGCAGGCGTATGTTATGGACGACGAACACAGGTCACTCGATTCACAACATTACCCTAACCCTAATCCTACCCCTCACACCAGATACTGACTGGTTTTCGGACCCCCCCAGACCCCCCCAATAAAGCAAAAATGCACGTTTCAGAGTGGCCTTTTATTGTGGCCAGCCTAAGGCACACCTGTGCAATAATCATGCTGTCTAATCAGCATCTTGATATGCCACACCTGTGAGGTGGGATGGATTATCTCGGCAAAGGAGGAGTGCTCACTATCACAGATTTTCTCCGATTTGTGAACAATATTTGAGAGAAATGGTTATTTTGTGTATATAGAAAATGTTTTAGATCTTTGAGTTCATCTCATGAAAAATGGGAGCAAAAACAAAAGTGTTGCGTTTATATTTTTGTTCAGTGTACATACATATATATATATATTTTTTTTTAAATGTATTCTAATGTACAATTGTCGGGCTGGGCTAAGCTTTACATCAGGGGTTCTCAAAGTTTTGATGAGTGAGGGCCAATTTAGGTACCCAATATTGGATTGAGGGCCGCCCACGAAAAAACGGAACACAAGCTGGTGTTGGAGTGAGCGATATGCTGTGGATTTCCTGTCTTATCAGCAGGGCCCTGATTCAGAACCAATTCCAGCTACTCAAGCACCACAGGATAACTTGCAGAGCAAGACAAATACAGAGAGACAGAGAGGGGGGAGGGAGAGAAAGATACTTTTAAAATAGAAGCTTACCAAAGACCACAATAACACAGTATTCATCATCATCATTGTTATTATTATTGTTTTTGTATTTGTAACACAAATCGGCTATTATTGCCTGTCATCAACATACCTTTTCCTACTTTGAATGGGATTTATGGTGCTGTCTTCTGTTGGCTACTATTCCTTTGATGTCCGGTTCCATCTCCGTTGTTGCTATACGAAGGACAGCATGTAGATGGGCATCCGTCAGCCTGGATCTCAGCTTGGATTTGTTGATGGCCATGGTGGAGAAGGTTTTCTCACAAATGTATGTGCTTCCGAACAGAGAGGCCATTCTGATGGCATGTTGGCGAAGTGCAGGGTATGTAGATGGGGAAAGTCCTTTGTAGAACTCGATGAGATTCTTGTCTCGATATGCTGCTCTGGCCTCAGAGCTCTCCTGCAGGTCGATGAGCTCGAACTGCATTTCTGCAGGCTCTTCTTTGGGTGCACATGTGAAGGGATCTTGGAATAGGTAGAATGACTTCTCGTGGTTACTGAAGTCCGAGAAGCGGTGGTGGAATTCCTCTTGGAGTTTTTCCATGAGGTTGTGGTTCTTGTCTGAACACAGGTGATGTAAAACGTCACATTCACCGCCGAGCACCTTGCAGGCGGGGAAATGGGTTAGATCCCCCTCTCTGAGCTGTCCCTGCAGTAGTAGAAGTTTTCGCTGGAAAGCTTTGACGCTGTCAAACAATGTGGAAATGAGCTTCCCATGGCCCTGCAGCTTCACATTGAGATCGCTGAGAAAGGTGTTCAGGTCAACAAGGAACGCTAGGTCACAAAGCCATTCAGTGTCACTTAACTGTGGCAGATCTTGTCCTTTTGATTGCATGAACTCAGCGATTTCTTTCCTCAAATAAAAAAAACGCTTCAGTGTGGCACCTCTGCTCAGCCACCAAATTCAGCCTCTGATTGCACCAAAAAAGTTTTGAATTGACGGTGATTCAGACCTCTGGACTTTAGGAAATTCACTGTCTTGACAACAATGTCCATGACATGTTTCATTTCAAGCGTATGAGCAGCAAGGGCTTCTTGGTGAATTATGCAGTGATATTTGATTAGGTTCTCACCTCCGTTATTGGCCACTTTGTCGCTGAGCAAAGAGACAGCACCCTCCTTTCTCCCGACCATGGCTAGCGCTCCATCTGTTGTGACATCGACCATGGATGTCAGCTCCACATTGTATGCATCGAGACTACGACACACAGCATCACAAATGTCGATTCCCCTTGTTCTGTCTTTGATACTCTCCATGCTTAGCAGTTCCTCGCCTATTTCAAAGTCCTCCGTGACCGTTCGAAAGAAAATCAGCAGTTGTGCAGTATCAGAAATGTCTGTACTCTCATCCAGTGCTATAGAAAAGGACCCCTTGCCTAGGCCTTCCACACGTAGTCCCAATTGCTCTTTGAGATCATTGGTCAGATCTTCGATTCGTCGTGTCACCGTGTCATTCGATAAACTTATGTCACGGAACTTTGACTTTTGTTCAGGGCATACAATGTCAGCCACTTTCAAAATGCAGTCTCGCACAAATTCTCCATCACTGAACGGCTTGCTCCGCCTGGCAATTTCGTGAGCTACCACATAGCTAGCCTGTGTTACAGCTTCACCGGATTTTGCAAGATTTGTTAAAACTGACTGCTGGGCAGTTAAACCTCTTTGATGTTGTTCAAGTTTAGTTCTGCGCTCCTTGCCCATGAACTTGTCATACATTTTATGATTGGTATCATAATGGCGTTTGATGTTATACTCCTTGAGCATTGCATTCACCTGCTTGCAGATGAGGCATATCACTTTATCTGACCCCTGAGGTAAAACGAAGTAAGCGTTGCTCCATTTCTCCTGGAACTTCCTTTTCTCCTCACTGACACAACGTTTTTACGCGACGGCCCTGGCTCCTCCATCTCGCTTACACAACGAAAACTTCCAACAACTTTTGTTGCGAAGGACTGATGGTTTGGGCATAGCCGCGGGAAGTAGGGGTGCTGGGGGTGCTGCAGCACCCCCTGTTGGCGAGTGGTATACATTTGAAAAACCACCTAACCACCTAAATAAAAATGATTAAACTACATAAAATAGTTATGATTTTACTTAAAATAAAATTAGCTGTATACAGTAGCATATAATAGTCATAGTATATATTTGTATATCAGGTGGCTTGAATTTATTTTCCAAATAAATAAAATCAGAGTCATCTAGGTCGTAGGTCCTGGGAGAGTGACGTAATTGACGCGACACACACACACTGCAGAGTGACAACTTTATAGAATGGCACAAAAAAGGATTTTGGATTTTTTTCTCCAACAAACAACCCAATAAAAAGAGTGGACCACCAGCTACTCCTCAGCCCACCACCTCTACGACTAGAGTAATATGACGCAGAAGAGACTGACACATCTGACTTTAATGCATGTCCATAGTAACATTTTGGACAATGTGGATGTATCTGCTCTAATGAGGGTCTTCATTAGTGCCACCCCGGGCTACATTTGGAGTTTTGTGAAGCCCCAACACAAGGTAAGACGATATTTTTCCTTTAATGCTGCTGCCGCTGTGCAGTGTTTTGCCTTGTCAATCAGTTAAAATTGAATTCATAGTTTTATTAATATTGTAAATAATATTTTCTGACTATTTGTAATGTTATGTAGGTTTGTAAGACCCATAGTTAGCATGTGGGCATGTGCAGCTGTTGCTAAGTGATGTAGGTATATAATGGTTTATTAAGCCTAGTTAAGGCGAGACACCCCAGGTGAATAGGGTAATTTATCCAGTTAATTACCTACAATAAGGCAATTGTTTCTTATATTACAAGTTTTCTGAATATGCAAATGATCCATTATCTCATTAAATGTGCGCATATTTTAACACATTTCAGGAACCGAAATCTGAACTTTGGATAAAGCCAGGTTCAAAATTCTTGTTTCATTTTGTAGTCATATTAGCATCTAAGGCTTTTACAGAAGGGATTTTGGATATCTCTTTTTATCACTCCATAAATCAGAAAATACTGTCAACAGCCCTAAAATATCAATTTTCGCCATGTTTCTAGGTATAAAATCTTATATAATTCAGGCTATGAATGATATATGAACAAACCCTTCTGTAAAAGCCTTCATAATATTGATAGGAATATAACTGGAAGGTTTGGTGTATGTAAGTGCTACTGAAGTTGACATTTCTGACTCAGAGTAGGAGAAAAAACTCATTTTGAGAAAATGACCTTTAAAGATTGCAGTGAGGCGTAAGCTAACCCCTCCTGTTCTTTGGACGACAGCTTGCGCCTCGACGCACTCCGTGAAGGTATTTCATGTTCGGGGTAATTTGGTTTTTGTATAATTTTGTTTCGTGCAAGTGACAATTGTTGTTGTCTTCTCTGTGAACGTTTTTTCGCCGTTCTTTTGCCATTTTGAGATTTAAATTTATAGCGGAAAGCTAACCAGGAAGTGTTTTAGCACATCACGTGACGCATCTGAACGAATCACGTTGTCAGAAGTTGACACCAGCCAATGAGATTTCGTTTCTTGGTTTAAGACCCTTTTGTACTTTCACGATTGGTTTCTGTGATACAAAGGAAATGACCATATTTGGATCCGATGAGATTGTGCAGGAGAGACGGAGCTTTTCCAACGATGACATTGTGCAAACAGCGGTCGCGGTACTTTATGTTACGTTAGAATGCTAACTTTTGGTGAATTTAGGAGAAATATACAGATGCAAATAGACAAACTATAGTAAAATGAACACTTAAATGTGTATTTTGTACGTTTTCCTTCCAAAAGCCTGAAAGAAAACATGTTATGGAATCAAAATAGCACAACATCTCAAAATTGACCAGTGCATGAAAAACGATGTTTTTGCCTGCCGTGTCTCGCCTTTAACAAACAATTTATGCGGCTTGTATCGCTTAAGCGGCTCCCTCCTCACTTTTGGCAGCACCCCCTGAGCAAAATGACTTCCCGCGGCTATGGGTTTGGGCCACGGGCTGTTCACGTGAACACTTTGCCGCCTTTGGGACATGCTTCCAGTGCATGCACCCCTCATAGCTCCTCTCGTACATCCAATCAGGGAGTGAGTTTGGGGATGCTCGCGCTGGGGGTAGTCAGTGGAAATAACAGTGTGCCTGAGTGTGGACGTTGGGAGAGACAGCTTGTTGTTTTTTTGTGACTTTTGTGTGCGTTCATATACTGAACCACACACGCAAAACACACACACGCAAACACGCACACGCAAATAACCACAATCACACACACGCCTTTTTACATACCTATATATACAAACAAACACACATACATTTTGTGCATTCACCTCCTATTTACAATAAACATCATTTGGAGTATACATCTTCTCTGGCATTTTAATCAGATGCACCACAGCGGCTTCTCATATAATTTCTTACCAGTCAACTAGTGACTCATCCAAAACAACTTTCGACTTTTGATCTAGCAAAAATGACAGTGTAGCATTTCCCTCCGAATAATGGTCGTAGGCTTTACTTTACTGATGAATCAGAATTTATTTGTAACTCCAGACCCAACGTAAGAGCTCGTGGCCTCTTCGGGGTGTGCTAAACATTTAAAACATACAGTCCGTTGTTCTCTTTCTCTGCCGTTACATAAAATACACTACATGAGGCGCTTTCACACTGCGGTACTTTTCCCACAAAGGTTCATGTGAACTCTTTAGTTCGCATGAACTAAGTACAGATCGCGTTCACACTGGAAAAAGTCCCTGGGGGAGGATTAGGCAAATGAAGCCGCTGACGTCAATCAATCAATCAATCAATCAATGTTTATTTATATAGCCCAATATCACAAATGTTACATTTGTCTCAGTGGACTTTACAGTTTGTACAAAATATCAGTATGACAATACGACACCCTCTGTCCTTAGACCCTCACATCGTACAAGGAAAAACTTCCGAAGAAAACCCACAGTTTAAAGGGAAAAATGGGAGAAAACTCAGGGAGAGCAACAGAGGAGGGATCCCTCTCCCAGGACGGACAGACGTGCAATAGATGCCGTGTGTAAATTGAAAAGATAATACATTTGCAACATAGGTAGTCCAAATGTTTGGAAATGCATGTGTGTATAATAGGAAGATGAATCCACGAGGATATCCATCCAGGACCTATGATCCAGGACCACAGCCACGACTCAAGATCCAGGGCTCGCGATCCAGGACAGAGGAGCGCAGGATCATCCATGACTCCGGATCTCGGCGTATATAGACACCAAAAAGAAAGACATTTGGGGAAGCTGGTCACTTGTCACTTGTTCTTCTTCTGCTTTGGGCTTACTGGCAGGCCGCAAACCACTTCACGGCGTATACTGCCACCCGGAGTCCCCGGCCGGAAGTCCCCGGAGTTAGGGACTGGCTTCAGTAGAAGCTGCTGGGACTCCCAGCAGCTTCTACTGAAGCCTTCCGAGTAAATCGCCAGAACGCCGACACCTCCTCATCTCCACCGCTCCCATGTTTTATTTTGTGTTGCCATAAGTTAGTCTCTCTGCGTTTCTGCGCTGGGCTAATGCTAATGCTAATAATGCTAATGCGAGGATAATAAAATGGCGGCTTCACCAAACTTTTTGGGAGTTTTGCGGGGCGTGGTTTGCAATCCTTCCAGCCAATCAGAAATATAGCTCTTTTCTCACAAAAGAGCCGCTCGAAAGTCCCTGCTCTCTCGCAGGGACTTTCGAGGGGGTAAAAAGGTTCACATGAACTAATTTTAGTACCGGCTCTTTTTGGTGTGAACGCGATAAAAGAGTTCACATGAACTAAGTTCACATGAACCTTTGTGGGAAAAGTACCGCAGTGTGAAAGCGCCTATGATCCGTCAAGTTGTCTCCAATGCCACCACAACTTCCTGTCAAACACGTTATCTCGCCTTCAAAATAAAAGCATGCAAACGAAACAGGAAGTTAACCTAAATTACTAGATACGAACCATGGAGGATTCAAATATAACGCATGCATTTCAGCGTGTCACATTAACTATCGCGGGCCGCCAGAAACATTTCCCAGGGCCGCCATTGGCCCGCGGGCCGCACTTTGAGAACCCCTGCTCTACATGATACTAGATCCAGGCAGCGCCCCCTGGTTTTTACAGACTTTGACAGTTACAGAAACCTCCATCCGTGCTGCTTCGCATCGGGAGCCTTTTTTCATTAATGACTGCTGCATATTATCGCTTTCATAATGTACCGGTACTTTTTAAAGTAAATGATCCATGTACCAAACAGGTCAGGTGTGAAATCAGTCTCTCAAAGTGCAAAACACTTTTTAATATTGCACAAGCTCTACTCACCGCTGGGCACCTGCATGTCTTGCTGGCTCTTCTTGTCATCGTCATCTTTCTCTAGCTGCTCTGCCAGGTTGGTCGACTGCACACACACACACACATGCACATACACACACACACACACACACACTATAATTATAATTACAACATAGAAATAATACAGTGTGGGGAAAATGTGTGCATTGTTTGTGTCCCAACCTTCTGCTTCTCCCTCTGTGTGTCGATCTCGTACTGTCTCTCCAGCATCTCCCTCTCTAGCGCCACCCTCCTCTCGTCCTCTTTCTCTTCCTCTCTTCTCCTCGCCTCCTCTTGTTCCTTCTGCCGCCGTCGCTCCTCCACCTGGGCCTCAATCGCTCGCTGTGGGAGGAGACGTGTGACACTGTTCACAATGGCAGCAAAAAAAGACCTTGCTGTACTCCATCCTGTCTCCTCCTCCTCCTCCTACCTGCTGATCCAGCTGTTTGAGCCTCCTCTTCTCTCTCTCTTCTATCTGGGTGGGATCCAGCAGGGCGGTCATGGTCCTCAGATGGCTGGACAAAATAGGAGAGAACATTGACTCATTTATATACCTGGATATAAATCTGCAATTTGTTTAGAAACTCAAATACAGTCATTGTATGATGAGACTTGCGAGAACAACTGAGCCATTTAGAGATTTAAGGCTTGTGTCGTGAATGGGAACATTCATTCAAAGCCTGAAAAACCACGAGGGGACAAATGAATCTTACATTTAGCCAATAGTAAATCTAAAGTGTTGGCTATGAAACCCAAAGTCAAGTCCAGACTCAAAAAGTACCCAAATTAAATAAAAGTTTAAACTTTGGCAAAAAGTTGTGTTTTAAAGAAGAGTCACATAAGACGACTAAGGAAATAGGTTACAAAGTGTCCAGTTAAAAATGTGCAGAAATTGAAAATCAGTTTTTTTGCTGAATGGCTCTTTAAATGCATTTGGGAAGGGGTATATACTGTATGTGTGCATTTATGTGTTTTGTTGTTTTTTTGTTTGTTTTTTCACCAGTCAGATATTGTCGAGACGAAAGTCAATATGTAATAATATCTGTGAAAAACGGACTAATAAATAATTATGTGTATTCATTTAGAGTATCATTATTATTATTATTATTATAGTATTGTTCAATACCAGGAGAGGGTATTTGTTTTATTTTGGATAGCGTAGGCTACTTTTCATAAGCGAGCTGTAGAAAAAATATGAATGCCGCTTCCGGCAACACGGCTACAAAAGGGGTGTAGTTTGTGATGGCCGGTCTCTTGTTCTCAAAGCCACGGAGAGAGAACCAGGCGACAGTGTGTGTGAGGCTCCGGAGACGTCGTTGGTATGTTTATTGTGTTTATGTACTTGATCTGTTGCAGGAAGAGCCAATGGGAGAAACCTAGAGCCGATCAGACTCCTACCAGAAATCTCACAGGAAAGACAGTGAAGGATCCTGTGGAGGTGAAAAGATTCTGCAGCCTTCAAAAACGTGTCGGTGTCATAGCCTGGGTGTGGAGAGCTGCAAGGAAGTGGCTGGAGATTAAGGACCAGCCTAGGGCAGAATCAAAGTTGGAAGTAATATGGCACACAAGGAATCGAGATGTAGCAGTGGGAGATGTGATGTGGCTGGCTGACCAAAATGCCCTGAGAGGACATTACAAACTGGTGAGAGTGGTCAGTGTAAATACTGATGGAAAAGGCATCGTAAGGGATGTAAATGTGAGAACCTCTCCCAGCTACCCAGTCTCAGTTATGAAGAATAAAGTCTGTGGAGGGTACAAGGGACATCCAAGCAGGATCCCTGCCACTATTCTTCATAGAGATGTCAGGCGCCTTGTCATCTTACTTCCTGTGGAAGAACAGGTGTGATTTGAAGGTGAATAACTGGTGTGAGCTCCTTGGGTTAGAAACCAGGAGCTCAAGTGGGAGGTGTCAAGACGAAAGTCAATATGTAATAATATCTGTGAAAAACGGACTAATAAATAATTATGTGTTTTCATTTAGAGTATTATTATTATTATAGTATTGTTCAATACCAGGAGAGGGTATTTGTTTTATTTTGGATAGCGTAGGCTACTTTTCATAAGCGAGCTGTAGAAAAAATATGAATGCCGCTTCCGGCAACACGGCTACAAAAGGGGTGTAGTTTGTGATGGCTGGTCTCTTGTTCTCAAAGCCACGGAGAGAGAACCAGACGACAGTAGAGGCTTCTCAATACTCAAATTTCCCCTCCTCGACTCCTCGGTCCTCCAGTAGTGACCCGGAAATGAATTTCAGCGCGCCATTTTGAAGGACGTCTCATTTCTCTAAATGCACACCGAGGACCGAGGATCGAGCGTCGAGGAGGCTCTCTGGAGGAGCTATAACCGAGGATACACTGATGGTTCCTCCACGGCTCCTCCGCGGATGCATTTCCGGGAACGGTGGAGGCGTGACGCACGGCCGGACTTATCTCAGCCAATGACAGCTCTTCATGCATCCTCTGGATATTATTTTAGAAACTGCTTTCATTGTGTTGCGATGTTTACAGTGAGAACAGCTGTGAGGTCCGTGCAGAAAGCAGAGCAGTGTACAATATCACTCAGTATAACAGGCCTAGATTACTCTCTTTATTTGCTGTAGTACAAAAGAGGCTTCTCAATACTCAAATTTCCCCTCCTCGACTCCTCGGTCCTCCGGTAGTGACCCGGAAATGAATTTCAGCGCGCCATTTTGAAGGACATCTCATTGCTCTAAATGCACACCGAGGACCGAGGATCGAGCATCGAGGAGGCTCTCTGGAGGAGCTCTAACCGAGGATACACTGATGGTTCCTCCACGGCTCCTCCACGGATGCATTTCCGGGAACGGTGGAGGCGTGACGCACGGCCGGACTTATCTCAGCCAATGACAGCTATGCATGCATCCCCTGGATATTCTTTTAGAAACTGCTTTCATCGCATCGCGATGTTTCCAGAGAGAACAGCTGTGAGGTCTGTGCAGAAAGCAGAGCAGTGTGTATAATATATATCACTCAGTATAACAGGCCTACTCTCTTTATTTGCTTTAGTTTAGTAAATATCTACAAACAAAGAGTCGATATTTTTCTAAGACCATTGCTTCACAGAATAAAATACACAACGGCTTATGCTTTAGGAGCTGTAGGTGTGTGTGGTACAGTGTGTAGGTGTGTGTGTGGTACAGTGTGTAGGTGTGTGTGTGGTACAGTGTGTAGGTGTGTGTTGTACAGTGCGTAAATGCGGCGGACAGACGGGTCTCAGTTGGTTTGGTGTCCTCTGCTTACTTTTAATAGGCCTACTTGTAAATACAACTTTTGGCCCGTAATTTCAATTCCCCATTTCAGCGACCAGAGAGAGGGGGGGATATATCCAGTCTCTGATTGTGTTACGTTATTATGAGAGTGCTCTCATACTTTAAATTGTATATATTTATATAAATATATTTGTGTGTGTGTGTCCGCATCTGTAGTCTGTTATTGTCTCATTATACCGCACTCTCAATGAATTCAAAGTAAATATGTAGAGGAACAATGTTCAGCTGATCTAACAGAGATACAGTGCTATGACAAAACACTCGACAGCTGATGCAGCTGTTGCCACGTAATAATGAACGGACGTCTCTTTAATATGACCGCTCAGAGGAGAGGAGTTCTCATTTCTTTAAACGTCTGCTGCTTCCCCTCCTCTCTTCTCGGTTCCCCTCCTCGGTCCTCCGCTCGCATCTCCTGTGGGCGGGTCTAAGTCTCGAGGAGGGGAACCGAGGAGGGGAGTCGAGGAGGGGAAATTTGAGTATTGAGAAGCCTCTAAAGAGTCGATATTTTTCTAAGACCATTTAGTGCGTCACATAATAAAATACACAACGGCTGTAGCCTGATTATGCTTTAGGAGCTGTAAGTGTGTGTTGTAGGCAGTGTGTATGTGTGTGTGTGGTACAGTATGTAGGTGTGTGTTGTACAGTGCGTAGATGCGGCGGACAGACGGGTCTCAGTTGGTTTGGTGTCATCTGCTTACTTTTAATTTAATTTAATTTCAAATCTTTATTTATACAGATAAATCCCATTGAGATCATTGATCTCTTTTTCAAGGGAGACCTGCTCAAGTAGTTCCACATGAAACATAAAAACATAAATAGAACAACAAAAGGACATCATACAGCATCATTTACATAATTATCCACATAAACAGGTACCAATAGCTTCCGATTGAGTAGCATCCAACCAAGCTTTAAAAACATTTAGTGGCACCAGATTGTTCAGTTTCCATTTAATTTGCAGACTATTCCAAGACAGAGGAGCTGCGCATCTAAAAGCTGTCTTCCCTAAGACAGTCCTAGCAGTTGGCACATTTAATAAAACCACAGCATGCGATCTCAGGCAGTAGCCACTTACAATTCTCCGTGAGATCAGGGAGCAGATATAAGATGGAAGTTTCCCTAACATGGCTTTGTATGTTAGGGAAACTTCCATCTTATATCTGCTCCCTGATCTCACGGAAAATTGTAAGTGGCTTATTATTATTACAAGTTAATACTTGTAAATACAACTTTTGGCCCGTAACTTCAATTCCCCATTTCAGCGACCAAAGAGAGGGGGGGGATATATCCAGTCTCTGATTGTGTTACGTTATTATGAGAGTGCTGAGCTCTCATACTTTAAATTGTATATATTTATATAAATATATTTGTGTGTGTGTGTCCGCATCTGTGCCTGTTATTGTCTCATTATACGGTATACCGCACTCTCAATTAATTCAAAGTAAATATGTGGGGGAACAATGTTCAGCTGATCTAACAGAGATTATAAAATACAGCGCTATGACAAAACACTCGACAGCTGATGCAGCTGTTGCCACGTAATAATGAACGGACGTCGCTTTAATATGACCGCTCAGAGGAGAGCGGAGTTCTCATTTCTTTAAACGTCTGCTGCTTCCCCTCCTCTCTCCTCGGTTCCCCTCCTCGGTCCTCCGCTCGCATCTCCTGTGGGCGGGTCTAAGTCTCGAGGAGGGGAACCGAGGAGGGGAGTCGAGGAGGGGAAATTTGAGTATTGAGAAGCCTCTAGTGTGTGTGAGGCTCCGGAGACGTCGTTGGTATGTTTATTGTGTTTATGTACTTGATCTGTTGCCGCACTTTGCGAGAGTGCTGTTGCGCAATCAACTATTTTTTTTACGCAGCGCGGTCTGCCTGTGCTCCGTTTGTTTTCTGTGCAATTTAGACAGCGCAGGCGTTCAGATGAGGTTTTCTCTGGTGCTTGTTTCCAAGTGGAGATAAACACTCTTATTAATTAATAATGTGTTAATGATGTGGTTTTAAAGGAACAATTTATTCTTTTTAATTAAAACATAGTTTGTGGTGCTATTATTATTATTATTATTGAGAATGCAGTGAGACCTGCAAAATGTTTGTAATTTGTGTAGCATGTGAGCTAACTTTTGTTTGTCCTTTGTGTTTTGAAGGTTTTCAACCTGATCAATTCTTGGAGCTGTCTTGAATAAATAAAGACAAAAAGAATAAATTTGAGTTGTCCAAAGCGTCCTCTGT